TGGGCATTAGCCAATGAAACGCGGCCCCTGTGGTAAGGTCCATTTCTCTGGAAGGCTTTAGCTGACTCAGTCTTCGGTTGCCTAGCAACAACCTGCTGAGTAACAAACAGTTGAATGTTGCCCCCAGGCTTCGGTTGCCTAGCAACAACCTGCTGAGTAACTGGCACAGCAGCAGTTGAAAGTTTCACCAAAACGGCTTAAAAATCGAAAACGGCTTGGAGAGAAAAGATATTTAAGATACTTAAAACACAAAAAAACGAATCAATAATTATTTATCGACTGATTTGAAATGTTTTTATTTCTGATCAGTTTTTCAGCCGAGTCGGAACAGAAGCCAGGATGGCAGTTGGTGTTTTTATATACAAAGAAAAGGGGGGGAAACTGTTAGTTTTTTTTATTTTTCAGTTATTCCTCACTTTGTGTTTGTTTTTCCAATCTGACTCACAGAGCCAAACAAGAGTCCTGACCTTTGACCTGCCGCAGAGCAAACAGAGCAAACATCGACACGTCGACGGGAACCACAGGTTACTTTTCAACCATCTTTCTGTAAGTGAAACATATGAACTGAAGCTGCAGAGCAGATATGAAAGTACAGCAGCCAATCAGATTCCAGTAATGCCCCCCCCCACAGCCTTCCTCCCCCTGGTGTTCATTTTGAAGATGGATCCCCTCTCTGGTTGGAGGCGACAGGGTCATCAGCAGGATCTGATCAGCTGAGAAGAACCGAGTCAGAATTAAAAACATGATGGATGGATGGAGCCCGGGCCGTTTGGCCTCCATGTTTGACGGCTGGTCACATGACCCAGATAACCAGGGGGCGGGGCTAATTCTGCTTTAATCCTGCCGCGCCGCGCTCACGTCTCATTTATCTGGGATTAATTAGCAGGAAGGTCCGGGCCTCTGTCGGCTTCCTGTCTCCTTAACGAAGCTTGTTAGGAGGAAAATGTGCTGATTGGTGGAAACTTCCAGCCGCCTCCTGATTGGTCCGTCTCCGTCTCTGCTCCTGGTTTCCTGCAAACTTTAGACTTTCAGCAGAAAATGAGAACAATTCAAATTCCCTCGGGAACCAATTATATTCAATCACACACACGCGCACACACACACACACACGCGCACACGCTGCAGTGAGTCTTTCACACTGCAGTGTTTACAGGGAATGTGACAGTTCTCTTCAGATGCTGCCAAACCCACAGAAAGGTCTGGAAACCTTAAAGGTTCAAACATGATGACGAGATCCAACAGGTTCATTTAGTGGTTTAAAACAACAGAAAAGAATTTAAAATGTTTTTTAATAAATAAATTTAAAAAAACAGATGTATATTTAACTGTTTAAAATCCAAAAATTCAGTCTTGACCATCAAAGTTGACAAATAAAATAATATTAACCCACAAAACGTCTTTGGAAAGTTCTGTGGAAGGAAAAAGTTTTGCTGTACAATATGTTATCACTGCAACATTAACATGCACAATATTAATACTATGAATTATTATTTTATTATTATGATGAGCCAATATTATGCATATTAATGTAATATTCAACTTAGTGGGAGGAGTCTCTGCTTTAATCGCCATGGTAACAGCAGAAACCAACACTAACCTGTAGAGCAGGGTTCAGGTTTTGACATGAGGGCTAAAATCGTCGAGTTGAAAATACATGGGGTCACAAAAACAACATTTTTTATTTAATCTGATTAATAATAAATAACAATAAAAAACAATTTCATTAAAATTAACAAAATAGTTGGAACATGCATCAGTTTCAGTAATAAACTAAAAAAGACTCAAAGATCTTCCATTTATAAACCATTCTGATGATCTGGAAACTTTTGGGAAAATATTCTGTGAACTGACGACACAAAAGTAGATTTTAGTCTTTAGGATTTTGTCTTTGGTTGAAGACCATTAGCCATTTCTCCCATGAGCTCTAGGCTATCATGTTTGTTGTGGTTGTATTTACCCAGAATTCCCTGCACTGTAGGGCACTTCCTGCTTTTGGTGGGCTCTCCAGTTCGCTTGGCGTTCACATGCAAACCGACCAGAGTTCACTCTCTGGTCCGATTAGCATTCACTCCTCCAGAAACGGACCGGACTTCCTGAACAAACGGACTGGAGTTTGACCTATTGTGGTGAAGAAAGAACCAAAAGGCAAATCTCTCGATTTACTCATCCTTCTGCATTCCAGCCCCCATCTGCAGAAATGTGACATGAAACTAAAAAACCCACCAAGATCCCGAATACAAGCAGACAAAAAAAGTCTTTTACTTTTGCATACAAGACTTTAGTTAAAAATATAAGCAAAAATGTGTTTTTTTGCTTATATTGTATTACCATAAACGTTCCGATGTTTTGTGTAATTCGTCATTTATTATAAGTGTGATATGAGCAGAGTGCTGCTGTATCCTTACATTTTGAATCTACTGGCATGCCGTATTATTTTTTTAGTCAAATAGGGATGGTACTTCTCAGCTGAGCCACCTGGATCTGTTTGGTCTAGATTATATATTTGACACCTGCGGTTCGGCCTTATCTGTCCATCTGTTGACTTTCCTTCCTTGTCATGGTAGTATAAATTTGTTTGTACAGGAACTATAACATGTTGAAACCGTGTAGGAGTAGGCTTTATGTGAGGACAGGTTGTGTTTTCTGAATTGTTGTGGATGGGTGATGTTGAACCAAAAAGAAACCAAAAACCGGTTACATCTATCTGACCTGGCCATTTTGTCTTCTAAGAAACGTTTGGTGATTCTTTGAATGTCTCTAAAATCAAGATGAAAACCTTTCCACTGTGTGGTGCCGAGACAGAAGGTCCTTTCAGCTTTCAACAACTATTAATAATTTGCCCAATAATCTACGTTTGGATCGCCGCTTTGATGGATCCTGATTTTTGGCTCCAAATCTCATTCATGTTGTTTAAAAACTACAAATACATGAATGATGCAAACAAACAGAACAACTCTGCAATCAACCAAACAAGTCCAAGTTAAAATGCTGCAACTACAGGAAGTAGAAGCAAAACAGAAAATGCTGCAAATTATAAAAGCAGCATTTTTGAAACGTTGCAAACTCGCTCCAGACCACCAGGGGGAGTCAACCAACAAATCAAGGTAAAGACAGGATGGCTAGAAGAAATCTGGAGGAAGGAACAAAACGTCTTTTTCAAACTCAAAAGTATTTTATAATGTTATATAATGTAATACTACCTGCTCATGTCTCCCCCTAGTGGCCTGGAGGACATCCGTTTTGTGGAGCGAGTTTGAACCGTTTCATATTTGCTTTTTGTGACCAGGA